TCGAAGTAATCCTTCAATAGGTGAAGGAAATATTTACCATCAAATTGGTATGAAAATTTATAAAGCACGTCGTGATAATTATACTCCATTCTTTGAAAAGAATGTGACTTGTGCATTGAGAATGCAGATTCATTCCTGAAGGTGAATGTAACAATATGTGATAAAAGTAATGAATAAAGACGTGCAATGCATGATTGGATACACACCACAACTCACCTCTAAGGGAGGTTTGAGAGAAAGAGAGATAATGAATATTAGTGTGTAATTACATGAATATGTCATTGGTCGCGTACATGTGGTACGCTAAAAATAATTTGACATGCCTTATAAAAAGTTATTAAAGGCAAAAGTAAAACAAGAAATGATTTTGCTTATGATGATTTTGACCATGACAATTATTAGGATATGATTTTCTCGGTGAAGGAGACATTCACCATATGGATGGTGTGACAAAAAATATTGTAGTACAAAATCAATTAAGAGCTCCGGAAGAGCTAATTTGCTACTACCCGGATGCATGAAATTGTTCATGACATTGATATTGTAGTAAGTCTCAAACGGAATTTTTGAGTTTTGAATATATTAGCCAAAGTGTTTGGCATATTGAGACTATAAATGAAAGGAAGATTAAATATCTTCATATTACTATAATCATACCGGGTAAATATAAAAGGTTACCCGATTTTTCTTTTATTTGTACTACACAAGTATAAGCATGATGATGGAATCACATGCCACAAGTAAATTAGAGGTTTACTGAAATAAATATTAGTTGGCATGAACGGGTTGGCCATCCCCGTTCAATTATGATGTAAAAATTAATTGAGAATTCACATTGGCATATATTGAAGAAATAGAAGATTCTTCAAGAATTCTCTTGTGCTGCTTATTCTCATGATATACCAGTTAAGGTTGGGATTGAATCCCTTGATATCTGGAACTAATAAAAGGTGATATATATGTATGGGCCCAATCACCTGCCATGTGGATCGTTTACTATTATATGATTTTAATAGATGCATCAATTGTATGCTCACATGTGCGTTTGTTATCAACTTGCACTTTGGTTTTTGCAAGGTTGTTTGCTCAAATTATTAGAGCACGGTTCCAGAATATATATTATGATAATTTATCTTGATAATGCTGGTTTAAATCCAAGTTGGTTTAGCAGAAATTGTATGCCTCCAATTATAGCTAAACCATTGGTTATGAGAACAAAATTCGCAAATAGAAATTTGGTATGAAGTATATTATTTAATATACAACAGCACTTGTACGCATCTAGCCAAGTTATGATAAATTCTCCCCATCACAATTTGTTCGCGGTCAGGAACCAAATATTCCCATCTGGAAATATGAATGTGCTATATGATTTAATTGTGCTGCCACAATGCACGAAGATGGGTTCCCAAAGAAGGTTGGAAAATGTGTTGGTGATCCCGACATTAGGGGGAGAAAATGGGCAGCTGAAAAAGTGATATGTGAAATGAATTATTATGAATACATCTAGATCCTCGTACAAGAAAATATGAACTTGAAGTTCAAGTGATAATTCATTTCTAAAATATTTCCAGACACATTGCTGACCCAAAGCTAAATGTCATATTCCAGCTGCTAATGCTCCAAATAGAATAACGTCCATGATGGATAGAGTTTATGGCACACATGAAGCATAATAGACAAATCGGTTCCAAAGATAAAACTCCTTGAAGAAGGAGGGAGCAAATGTTCAAGATGGTCATAATAAGGAGGCAAGTGCTTTATAAGAGCACCATGACATAACATTTTATAAGACCTCATGGGAGAGGCTCAGGTACCTGAAAATAATGAGATAAAGAGATCTCAATAAGTTATGTCTTTAGTGGGTAATGACGGAACCGATGTAAAATGATCATTGACAATATTGTTTATATAATGTAGCGCCCAATATTATTAATATTGACGAGGATGTTGAGCTCAAATCTGTCATGGAATTTGGACAGATAAATGATTGGCCAAATGAAAAATATGCAATGAAAATTGACTTCATCTGAAAAATATGAAGTTGGACGAATAGTCCCAACAACTGAAAGTATAAAGGCTATATGGAGATATTGAAATATGATTAATATTATATTGCAAAAGGAATCCTTGATATAGATTTGTTTATTCTAACAAATATTGTCAAGGTTTTGTTGGTTATACAAATGCAGGGCATAGTTCATTGTTCAAACAATCTATTTCCATGTGAGGACGTGTGACTTTTCTTTGAAGAGACGATTCCAATAATATTGAAGACGATGATGCTTGCATAGCTCAATTAAAAGAACGATATATTGAAGAAGACAAAATAAAGCACATTTAGCTAAAGTTTCTTTGCAGAGACGATCTTCAATAGAATGATGAAATAGATGTTCAAGAAATTCCTTCAAGTGATAATTTGGCGGAATAATTCACGAAGGCATTGCCGATCTCAATATTAGAGAAGTTGTTATACAAGCTTCGAATTCGGCGTCTCCGAGAAATAAAGTGATATTTTCATCAGGGGGAGGCAAATACGCGCTGTACTCTTTTTCCCTTAGCTAAGATTTTATCCCACTGGGTTTTTCTGGCAAGGTTTTTAATGAGGCAGCAAGTAATGCGTATTACAAGATATGTGTACTCTTTTTCCTTCACTAAGATTTTTTCCTCCATGGTTTTTTCTTAGTAAGGTTTTAACGAGGCACATTATCTATGGACATCCAAGGGGGAGTGTTATGAAATACATATTTATATGGATGTCCACTAATCAAATATAACTCCCACTACTCTTCTCCATTATGTAGATAACCCCCACTACTTCTCACCATTATTGTTGTAACTCCCTCACCTTCATAACCTACCCATGATCTTCCTCCATGATCTCAAATGCTTAATGGCATACTTATGGAATTCTTTTGGTATACCTCTATGTTGTATTATAAATAGAGGATGAGAACTCATTTTGTAACACACTTGAATACATAGAAGAAATAAGATTCTCTCCTCTCTTCCTCTCTACATTGTTGTCTATTTTATTGTTCTATATTGTTACTTTGAGCTAAGTTTCGTAACAATATATAACTTATACATTTAATACTTAAAAGAAAATTTAAACAAAATATCCATGATAATGGGATAAATCCAAGGTACAAAGAGTACATTTTGGGCATATAAATTAAAGTGCATATGTGACGAAAGTCTCCTCATGACATTATGAAACTATAGCACACTACGGTGTTTAACGTGGTAAAAATTACCTAGCTCAGAGGCAAGTTCTGAATCATATTCCAACCTTTTAATACGTTGTTCGTAGATGAATGTGATTTTAGTGGATAAATTTTAAAAATAGCCAGATTTACAGCTGGTCGTTCAAAAATAGCCCAATTTCAAAAGTAATCGAAATTTAGTCACTTTTTATATAAAGATAAATCTGAGCGAAAGCACTGTTCAAAACCCGAAAAATACTCCAGTATATTATGCTGGAGTTCCAGCATAAGTATACCTGAACTCCAGCATATTATACTGGAGTTCCAGAATAAGTATGCTGGAACTCCAGCATAATATGATGGAGTTCCAGCATAAGTACACTAGAACTCCACCATAATATAATGGAGTTCCAGCAAGTATATTGGTCCAGTATAATATACTGGAGTTTGGAGCACCGATACTCCAGTCTCCAGTATATTATACTGGAGCCAGCAAAGTATACCGGTCCAGCATAATATACTGGAGTTCATACACAAGTACACCGAACTCCAGTATATTATGCTGGACCGGTCTCTATTGCAGCAAAATAGTGGCTATTTTTCATTGACTTGGTAAACGCTGGCTATTTTTGATTGACCAGTCCGAAAACTGGCTATACCGTGCTATTTTTACGATTTTAGTTGCCAAACCATTTAAGGTCCAACTACCAAGGGACTAAGTCTAACAAGACCAAATTTTTAGACCTAACTTTTTACTTTGCTAAGTCACATTGTTATTATCGCCGCAAATTAGGTTTTTTTTCCTTCTAATTTCATCGTGGAATAAAGTATTTCAACATATTCAAATCAGGTCGTGAATGCATAGGGTCTAATCTCCAATGAAAATGAAGTCTAACGGCGGAAAAAAATGTGAGTAAAAATAGTTCTACACGAGATTTAACAGTAAGAATTAATATTGAGTAGTCTATTCTTGTCGTCATTGTCTTTATGTCAAACACTCCAAAACAGATGAAACTTTTTTTGTGCTTTCTCTCCCTTCGCTGCTTCCTTTTGATAACTTTTAGCTCTTTTCTTGCAATAAATTCGTCTCATTTGTCGCAGTTGATCCCGTGAATGATACTCCATGATATATGCTTCTACCACTTATTTAATAAATAAATAAATGGAGAAGGGCCAAATATACATTTGTACTATCAGAAAATGTTTAAATATATCATTTGTTATACCTTGAATCCAGATATATCCTCATCGTTGTACTGTTGATTTAAATATATCCTTTGTCTGTTAAGTTTGTCCAAAAGTAGACATCCAATCCTGCGCGGCACTAACATTTGATGAGGTCGATGCTACATGGCTTGCCATCTCAGCGTCCCTAACCTATTTTACCCCTCCATTCTATTTTTTTTCCATCACTAAAATCTCCTTCCCCTCCACCACTACTGACCCCTTTACCGCTACCATAAAAAATATTGTATTTCGAATTTTAGTCTTAAATATATGGTTTAGGGGCGATGAGGTGGATGCCATGACATCCACCTCATCAAATATCAGTGCTACGTAGATTTGGATGTTCACCTTCAAAAAACTTAAAAGAAGCTAGAGACGTTATTTGAACCAATAGTATTACGGCAGGAGTATCTTTGGACCAAAAGTATAACAAAATGTATATTTAAATCTTTTCTCATATATAGTACAGAGATAATTTGCAGATAAATAAATAAGTAAACCTTCTTAGGACTTTACAACGACCAACGAACTCTTCAACTACCAACTACTATATAAACGGGTACTTCCCTCCAATATAACTCAAACTTTCGAGCCAAAGTATTATTATAACATTACTAAGGGAAGAGAAATGGCCCATCCTATAAACATGCTGATTTTATGCTTCACCTTCTTCCTCTTACTTAACCTTTCTCATAATTTTGCCTCTGCTTTCACTTCTCAAGATTACTCTGATGCTCTTCAGAAATCGATTCTCTTTTTCGAGGGACAGAGGTCAGGAAGGTTGCCTGCAAATCAACGCCTTAAGTGGAGGGGTGATTCTGGCTTATCCGATGGTTCCGGTTACCATGTATAATCCTTAGATATTTTAATAGTATTATTAATCGGTCCATATAATTTCTACTACATTTTAACGATAACACGATTACTGACTGTTTTTGTTGGTTTTAGGTTGACCTTGTAGGAGGATATTATGATGCAGGGGACAATATTAAGTTTGGGCTGCCAATGGCATTCACAACAACTATACTAGCATGGAGTGTAATTGAATTTGGAAGCTCCATGCACAACCAACTTGATAATGCTAAAGAAGCGATTCGTTGGAGTACTGATTATCTTCTTAAAGCAGCTACAGCGAGTCACAATACGTTATACGTGCAAGTAGGAGATCCAAACGAAGATCACAAGTGTTGGGAAAGACCTGAGGATATGGACACACCGCGCAATGTTTACAAAGTGTCGCCACAAAATCCAGGTTCTGATGTTGCTGCTGAGACTGCTGCTGCTTTGGCTGCTGCCTCTATTGTGTTTAAAGATTCTGATCCTTCTTATTCCTCTAAATTATTGCGTACTGCACAAAAGGTAACTAGCATTGTCCTGCACATTTTTGTCTTCTTTTGTGATTCTTATACGTGCATCCAATTCTAAGCAGATTTGCATATTTCAGGTGTTTGATTTTGCGGACAGGTATAGAGGTTCATATAGTGACAGTCTCAGTTCAGTGGTCTGCCCATTTTACTGCTCTTACTCTGGATACCATGTAAGATGAAACGTTAATTGATACTATAGTTACAGTTCATTTAGATTAGCTCATTAAAAGTAGCTGATAAGTATCGGGTGATAAAAAGTATTTTTAAGTGAAAAGTAGTTACATGTATGAATAAGAGCGTTGAAACTAATAATAAGCAGTAAATACCCATTAATTTCATAATGTAACTCTAGCTTATTGATGTTTGACCATAAATACATTATGAAATATTCAGGATGAACTTTTGTGGGGAGCATCATGGCTACATAGAGCTTCACAAGATGCTTCTTATCTAGCTTATATTCAATCAAATGGCCAAACTTTGGGTGCTACTGAAGATGACTATTCCTTCAGTTGGGATGACAAGAGACCTGGAACCAAAATTGTTCTCTCAAAGGTTCAATTCCATTTAGTCTCAGTCCAACTTTAAGTTTTTTTGCCATAAACTCATGAGTCCCCTCATCCTTCCCTTGGTTTTCACAGGACTTCTTGGAAAAGAGTACTCAAGAATTCCAAGCATACAAAGTTCACTCAGATAACTATATCTGCTCTTTGATTCCAGGTTCACCTAGCTTTCAAGCTCAGTATACCCCAGGTCAGTAGTTGCATTTTCCTTCATCTTTTGCCATGATTTTGTAAGATACCTACGCGTAAAAAACGGCGAATGGAGACTTTCTCCAATGGGCTCACCAAAACCAGTTTTTTTTACACGAATATAAAGGGTAGTCCGGTGCACTAAGCTCTCGTTATGCGCGGGGTCCAAGGAAGGGTCGGACCACAAGGGTCTATTGTACGCCGACTTGCCCTGCATTTCTGCAAGAGGCTGTTTCCACGGCTTGAATACGTGACCTCCTGGTCACATGGCAGCAACTTTACCAGCTACCCTAGGGCTCCCATTCAAATATAGATTCTATAAAGTTTTAACAAATGGTTGAACTTATAATTTCAAAAGTAGAATGAAGTCCGTGCTTAAGACTTAAAACTTGAACCTATCAAGTTAAATCTTGGATTCGCTTATGCACTTAGAGAGCTAGCAATTATCACCATTACATAAGTTTCAGGTACTAACGTCTGAGAAAAATGTCTGCAGGGGGGCTTCTATTTAAAGGAAGTGCAAGCAATCTCCAATATGTAACATCATCATCATTTCTCCTATTAACCTATGCCAAATACTTGAGATCAAATGGAGGAGCTGTCTCATGTGGAGCTTCAAGATATCCTGCAGAGAAGCTCGTTGAACTCGCAAAAAAACAAGTAGACTACATATTAGGAGATAATCCAGCAAGAATATCGTACATGGTTGGTTTCGGACAGAGGTATCCGTTACGTGTGCACCATAGAGGTTCATCTATACCTTCAGTGCACACACATCCTGGTCACATTGGCTGCAACGACGGATTCCAGTCTTTGAACTCGGGCTCGCCTAATCCAAACGTTCTTGTGGGAGCCATCGTTGGTGGTCCAGACAGTAAAGATAACTTCGAAGACGACAGGAGTAATTATGAGCAATCAGAGCCTGCTACATACATTAATGCACCACTAGTTGGAGCTCTTGCTTTCTTATCTGCAGAATCTATCTAAGTAGTATAGTGGATAACATATTTGGTTGATTGGAGTTCAGCCTTTGGTCTTGTAGCAGAGGAAGTGGATCAGGAAATCCCTATGGTCCTATGGCCGCTCAAGATAATTGTGACGAGAAAGTTACACTAGATATTTATGTTCTTATTTTACTTCTATGCATTCAGCATGTAAACAAGAGATTTCCAGAGGGATTCTTGATTCCTCTAGAGTCTAAGACCCTTAAAATGCTTGAAATGAATTTTCGGATGACTGCTAAATTGGTATCTTATTTATAAGTTGGCTTTCAACTCTTTGTGTGTCATATGTACAAGCGTCATAACGGTATTCCTTGCTCAAGTTAGGTTTTGTCCCTGTACGATGCCAAATTCATAACTCCACATTTGTTAGACCCATGAACAAAAGTTTGCACATATATCTTTGTTACACCCCTTAAATGTTTCCAATGTCCTTGTAACCAAAAAAAAAAAAAAAAGCAGCCCGGTGCACTAAGCTTTCGCTATGCGGAGGGCCCGGGGAAGAGTCGGACCACAAGNGCAGCAGTTGCTACCTTCTTAGCTTCCTCCAGATCCCCAACAGCATCGAAATACTGTTCGACGTCAAAGATGAAGTTTTCCACTTCCTTGGCATTCCTAGCTCCATTGTATGGCTTTGGCTCAGGAATTTTCAGTTTCTTTGTCGCGAAAGCGGTGTTCACAGCACCTCCGATTTGGTTTCCACCTCCTCGGAGTAGGCCCTGTAAAGCAGCGTTGACAACATTGAGTTGGTCTGTCAATTTGTCAATGGTTTGTTGCATGACAGTCACCTTTTCTGCCTCTTGTGCCCTGTGGGCTAAATCCTCGGTGCGCTCCTGTTGGAGCCCCTCGAATTTCTCAAAGATTTCGGCTGCCTCTGTGGCTGCCGTCTGCCGGTCTCCCTCGGAGTCGCGACTGATGTTTTCAACGTCAACTTCGACCTGAAGCACCCTGCAGTCCAGGTCGTCCAACCTTTGCAGTAGGCTGGTTCTTAGTTCAGGCACCGTATCCATAATAGGCCGCAATACCTCAACCGTCCCTTCGAGGGCCGCAATGCGGTCCCCATGATTCACCATGGTCAGAAATGGTGGTATGTCAATACGTTCCCTCGTCCGATGTCGAGCCTAGGCTCTGATACCAACTGTTACGCGGCGCCTTCCTGAGATTCCTTGGAAGGGCGACGTAAGGCTAGGCAACTGATGTCAGTGCAGTTGCTGTCCGCCAACTGAGGTCCCCTCCGTACGCTAGACGAGATTGTCAGTGCCTGCGGGAAAACCAATGTCAAGAGCAGTTGAGAGAACGGAAGTGAGAATTCATAATGAAAGAAAGCTTGATTGCATTAATGAAAGCTATTACAGAAAAGCAACGCGGTGTCGAGGGGGAGAGACACCAGTACAGAGAATTGCTTGCTTGCTAGAAAGTTTTGATTGCTTGATCCCCCCTAATAGTACTTAAAAAAAATAATCCAAAGTTACAAGACTAGACTTGACTAAGCTAGAGAAACATAATGGAAGTACATGAAATAAAACTACTCTATATTTACAATAAAAATGACTTAGTTTTCTATAAGGCAGCAGCAGGTCCGTTGTCAGCAGTGTCTTTGGCATCACGGTCTGCGCGCGCGGCGTTGTCTGCGCGCGCGGCGCTGTTGGCTTCTGCCTGCGGCTTGGCGCTCGCAAGGGATATCGGTGGGGCGACAGAGGCACCTGCGCGCTTGTCACTTGGCGCGGCCAAGACCACGGGGCCGTCCGTGGCGCTAGGCATTGAGAGGTTCGCTAGGACGCCACGGGGCGCGCCCAAGGGGTCATGGGGCATGGCTGGAAAGCCGCCCATGACAATACTTATGCTATGTGTGGAAAAATACTGGACTCACTTGGACCTAGACCTATCAAATGGGTCGTGTCAACTCACGAACCGGCCCAAATAACCTATCAAATGGAGGGGCATTTGCATCTATACTCGTTTTTTGGGTCACGTTTTAACTTATACCCGCTTTGCAAAAAAAATTGCAAGTGTACCCACTTTTCGCGTAACTTTAGGCATACGGGCCTGGAGTAGCAAAGGCAATCACGCAAACTTCATCATTCTAGTAAACGGGCCTGAAGTAGCAAAAATTATTGAACCAAGTGTCGGCTGAAGTTTTTGTTTGTGATTTCTGAACTTAAGCATTCAAGTAGCTGAAGTTTTGTTCTTTATTTGCTAAATTTCAGCATGTTTTAGCTGAAGTTTTTCGCGTAACTTCAGGCATACAGGCCTGAAGTAGCAAAGGCAATCACGCAAACTTCAGCATTCTAGTAGACGAGTCTAAAGTAGCAAAAAATGCCGAACCAAGTGTTGGATGGAGTTTTATTTGTAATTGCTAAACTTAAGCATTCTACTAGCTGAAGTTTTGTTCTCTATTTGCTGAACTTCAGCATGTTTTAGCTGAAGTTTTGTTCTATATTTGCTGAACTTCAGCATGTTTTAGCTGAAGCTGTGTTATGTTTGTGTTGAACTTCAGGGCTGAAGTTTGTTTGAATTTGCTGAACTTCGGCATTCTAGAAGCTGAAGTTTTTATTTATATTTGCTGAACTTCAGCATTCTTAGAGCTGAAGTTCCAAAACAACAATGACAAGTTGTCATTAAGATCCAGATGTTATAATGGAATTATTAGGAAATTCAGCATTAAGAAGAACCATCTTTAATTCTTTTTTGGGATTGAAATTTCAGATGTACTTACGCAAAAATCATACCTTAGTGCTAAATCACTGTATTTCATATTCAATCAATAATACTTACACAGAGTCTCATGTGTTTGAAAGAAGAAGAAGAAGAAGAAGAAGAAGAAGAAGAAGAAGAAGAAGAATAAGAAGAAGAAGAAGAAGAGGAGGAAACGAAAGGAGGAAAAAAGTAGCGCACATGTAGCAGGAAGAAGGAGGCGCCTGAAGTTGTAAAAATTAGGGTATAGGTTAAATAATTTTAAAAATATGGTATAAGTTAAATGAGGGCGACTAAATAGGGCACCCGTTGCGATTTTTACCAAAATGGACCCCTCAACTGTCCTACAACGTAAAAATTGCACGGGGCGCCCTATTTGGTCGCCCCTATTTAACCTATACCCATTTTTTAAAAAAATTTAAATTGTACCCACTTTAAAACAACTTCATCCCCCTTTCTACTCCTCCCTCTCCTCCTCAAAGTTATATCCGCCCTCAACCTCTTTCTGAAGTCCGTGACTAAAGGTCCCTGCTTGATTGAATGGTGGCAATAGATGCGTTGAAGCAGCAGCTAACTGAAACTAACTGGTTTGAATAAATAAATCAGCTTATCATAAATCTGTATAAGTGCGTTGAAAACTTTTCGTTGTAGAAAAAATGCATAGAATTTTTATATGTTTATGCTGAGACTAACTGGTTTGAATCACAACGAAAACCCCTTTGTTTGTGCCATCTCTTAACATCATCTGTTTTGATGGATAGTTTAGTTTAAGCCTCTGGGAAGCATGAAAACCATAAGCCAGTTACAAAACAAAAACTTCAGCTCTAGAGCTGAAGTTCGCCAGTTAAAAAATAAAAACTTCAGCTCTAGAGCTGAAGTTCGCCAGTTACAAATAAAAACTTCAGCTCTAGAGCTGAAGTTCGCCAGTTACAGAACAAAAACTTCAGCTCTAGAGCTGAAGTTCGCCAGTGACAAAAACAAAAACTTTAGCTTTAGAGCTGAAGTTCGCCAGTTACAAAAACAAAAACTTCGGCTCTAGAGCTGAAGTTCGCCAGTTACAAATCGCCAGTTACAAAACAAAAACTTCAGCTCTAGAGCTGAAGTTCGCCAGTTACAAAACAAAAACTTCAGCTCTAGAGCTGAAGTTCGCTAGTTACAAAAACAAAAACTTTAGCACACTTGCTACTTCAGGTCCGTCTACTAGAATGCTGAAGTTTTGCGTGATTGCCTTTGATACTTCAGCCCCGTATGCTGAAGTTATGCGAAAAAGCGGGTACGCTTGCAATTTTTTTTGCAAAGCGGGCACAAATTAAAACGTGACACAAAAAACGAGTATAGATGCAAATCCCCCTCCTACAACCCATTAATATAGGGGGTCTGGGCCGGGCTGTAATAGTTTGACTCATTGAACCGGAACGGCCCCAAGCCAGCAGTTGACTTGCGGGTCAATCAGTTCGGAACAACCCAGTAAGACATAAAAATTACACCTATTTAAAAAAAAAAAAAAACTAAATCCATTCAACCCCCATTTCCCATTCTCTAATTCCGTATGCTTCTCAAATTTTAACGTTAATAAAGTATGATTTTTCTTTCATTTTTCTAATAAATTTCATGAGTTCATGTATTACTTCAAGTTCGTATACGTATAAAGTATTAAATTTTTATCATTTGTTAATTATGATATCTTGTGTTTGCTTCATTTGTTTTTATGTATTTTGAAGTTTTATGTAATTCAATCGGTAAGAAATAGAATTTACATTTATATCAAAATATTAGAAGTCAAATGTGAAAAATTAGTAAAAGTAAGTTTTTCATGATTTGATATCTCTTTTATCCTACTAAGTTCTATTTTTCAAGGATTTTTACTTAACTGTCAATTTAAAATATTAAATATTTTTTATTAATTTATTCAGCCTATTAGGACCCGAGTTAAGGGGCTAGGGGTTCAAGGGCCGGGTCATGTCAAGAGATTTTGATTAATGGGTCAGTCTAAGTAGCATGATTGGAGCTTCTTAGCGCTTACTACCTAAAAGTAAGCTTTTCGCTCTTTTCCTCTTACATAACTTAGATAGACTCCCTATAAGAAAGTGAATCGGACCAGCCCGATTAAGGACCCACGGGTCAAGTGCTAACGGGCCCAGGTCGGGTTGGCCCATTTAACAAGTTTACTTGGACGCATAAAAGCTATGCTCCATCGGCCTCTGATCTTGTGGTTGTGGATATCCTGCTTATGTATAGAATGAGTATTGACTTCAAGCCAGTATTGTTAATGGACATTTTGGATATGAACATTGAACTTGTTTATGGAACATATTCCTAATCCCTTAGAGGTCGTTTGGTAGCTGGTTAGAAGAAAGGTTATTTATGTATAAGGGGTAACATAACTTATACCATGTTTGGTAGGCAATAGTTATTTTGTATAAAATTCTGTATAACTAATACCATGTTTGGTTGACATTTTTCAATTATGCATAAATAATACATGTATAAGTTATGAGTCAATCTGTGTATTATTTTATGCGGGGTAGAAGATGGAATAACTAATACAT